GAAACAGCAAGGATGGACCGGCTCCCGGCACGTAGCGAGCGATCGAACTCCTGAGGGGACAATTTGCATATTAGCCTTTTATTATATATAGATTGGGCTCCTGCATCAGAAGTGCCTCGTGTACTGTAAGTGCCCATGAATGCTTTTCAACTCAGTTGGCACAGGAGGGCGGTGATGAACTTTCCTATGCAATAGAAGACGTTACAAAATTGTGAGCAGAAATTTCAATATGATCTCTGGCAGTTCAGGGAAAGCAATGGATGCTCGAGTATAAGAACATTGACACTTGCTTCATCCTAGGACTGACTACCTATGCCACTTGGGAGAGAAAAATAAAACATAAGCCAGCTATACTTGAGTTTTCCCTGACTGGCACTGACTATAATCTTAACTTATATACCCACTTAGGAGATGTGAGACTGGATGATTCACTTCATAGTCTTAGACCACTTTCTCCTCCTCTGAAGTCTCTGATCTTATCTAAGTTCCTACTAATTTCACATTTTTAGATCAGTGTTTCTATTGCCATCTTTTAGGATGGATTTAGTTGGTATTGAATAAAATATGTTTAGAGCAATAAGAATGGCCTTGTTAAGTGTTTTTCCTTCTACAAGTAAATTCATTATTCTTTTGAATGGTTCCAATACCTCCATTTCTAGTTATATGCTTCTTAGTAAGTTAATATATTACCGGCTATTACTGTTTCCACAGGCTTAAAATTTCCTTGAATTCCCAAGAGCTGCTTCTATCAAGAACTATTTTCCATGGCTTTTGAAAAAAATCTAAGTATGCTTTCTATCTTGCAGAGAAGTAATATCCTCAAAGAATTACAACTCAATCACCAACTCTATTTCCTGAATCAATTTAGCCTTCTTGGAAGACAGCATTCAGTGAGTGCTTTAGAATGTCAGCAAATGTATTCCTTCAGAGGAGGTTAAGGTATGCGAGTGAATGGATCACACTTCACTGTGTAATTTCCTTCCAGCCATTATTTAATCAATGCTATTATGCTGAGTGAACTTGTGGAGGACTCTTCTTACATTTCTTTTCCCATTACCATCACGAATGCGCAGCATTTGGACTTCTCTCCTGGCAGCTTTAAAGGAACCTAATCTCTTAATGCATATCAGATCTGCGCATTATCTCTCCCCCAGGCCGCTCCTTCTTTAAGTTCCATTAACTCAAGTTTCTCTTTGTGGACAGAAATCTGCTGCTAGTTCGAATAGGAAAGTCTCTGCAAGCTGTCATGTCTCGCACGGACTCTTCGGCCATTCGGTTCGTTTTCATAAGTGCTGAGTCAGAGGCACCCGTGCGTTGTAAGTGCCATGAATGCTCATCGGATTGAACTGGCTCAAGAAGGTGATGATGAACTTTCTCCCACGATAGAAGACGTTATACATTTGCTCACAGAAATTTCAATACGACCTCTGGGCGTACAGGGGAAGCCATGGAGGCGCCAGTGTAAGAGCATCGACACTTGTATTTTTAAAAAACGTAAAAACAACCTGCGTGGCCAGAAACTGAAGAACAGTTGAGAATTACGATTCAGTTTTGTAAGGAGATACTAATGTGGCTGCTACCAATAGTGCTAACAGTTTTAAAATATTAGAAATACTGTTGTATAGTAATGATAGTAATTTAAAAAATAGCATGTTAATAATTTTACAGCGTCATCAACTGGACCACCATCTATAGCAATAAATGCACCAAATACATCCATAGATGCATTGTCAAATGTCTCTGTAACTATAGAAAAAATGCTAGAAAATACACAAAATGTCAGTGGTATTTCTTTTTGTCAGGTAAATCAGAAGAATTGCACTTTTATTTTCTACACTATGGTATTTTTCCATTTTTCCTTACGGGTATGTTTCTTTAAGAATTATTCTGGCATAAGAAGAGATGTACTTCTGTGGTGAATGCATGTCATCAGATGGCAGTTAGCAACCTCATGACCCTCGCTATCTCCACTCTCCTTCCCTGGCCTCAGTCTAACTGCGGACATACATGTCTGCTGCGGCCACACCACACTCTGAGGTTACTATTCTTTTTTTTTACAAATATATTTTTATTTATCTCAGAGAGGAAGGAGGAAGGGAGAGGGACAGAGAGATAGAAACATCAATGATGAGAGAGTCACTGATTGGCTGCCTCCTGCACACCCCACACTGGGGATGGAGCCTGCAACCCAGGCCTGTGCCCTGACCAGGAATCGAACTGTGCCCTCCAGGTTCATAGGTCAATGCTCAACCACTGAGCCACGCCGGCCAGGCAATTCTGTCTAATCTTTTTATATGAGAGAAGCACTTAGAACATACGGAATTAAATACAAATGGATTCTTTACGGGTGAGCATACAGGCCCTAACTATGCACGACACCTGCTGACACAGAATTCGTGAATCTGAGATCCAGAAAGACCAGTAAACGTCACCTGCCAAAACCCTTGTTCGTGATGCAGACCCAGGGCTCTGGGAACGGGGGGATGAAAGATATGGAGAGGAGAGCGGAGAGCGGAAGGGACTGGTGTTTCCAGGGAGACCTGGGGCTGGGGCGGGTGAGAGGGGTGAGGGGAGTGAGAAGTGCAGACTGGCAGGTACCAAGTGGCCCCAGGATGTGAGGTGCAGCACAGGGCGCACAGTCACTCATATTGTGGTGACTACGGACCGGCTGGCTGGGCACTGGGACTATCGAGGGGAACACTATGTAACGTAGATGCCTGTTTCATCACTGAGCTGTGCATCTAAAACCAACAGAAATAATATCAAAAGAAACACACACACATAGCTTCTGCCATAGCAGATGTTCATGATGGAGCAGCCACAGGTCCCCAAACGCACTCAAATACACATATAAATGCAGGTTCATACAGCTTCAAAATGGACGTGTTAAGTGTGCAACTGCAAGTATTTCCAATACTTACAACATCGTCTCATATTAAATCAATGAATTGCGCCTCTGCTCTCCACCAGAGTTCACGGTGATTTAGATGGTGTGTCTCCCTCTAGGGTCCAAAGCCCCCGGGCGTTATCAAAAGTGACCTTCTGGCCCGGCCTGTGTTGCTAAGCGGTGAGCGTTGACCTATGAACCAGGAGGTCACGGTTCTCTTCTGGTCAAGGCACCTGCCTGTACTGTGGGCTCCATCCCCAGTGTGGGGTGTGCAGGAGGCAGCTAATCAATGATTCTCTCTCATCATTGATGTTTCTCTCTCTCCCTTCCTCTCTGAAAACAATAAAAACATATACATTTTATTTAATTTAAAGTGAGCCTCGACTTCAGAATAGTAGCCTAGATCTTGCCTGATGGCCCACCTCACCTCTGGTCAGTCTATCGTACCCTCACGTCACTAATGTCATTGAACGGAACGGGAAAGGTCCTATGATCGTCTCAGCGAGTGTGATCTTGTAGCACCCACGGCTGAATGAAGCGGAGGGCAGCATTAGCTGGTAAGATATTCTCCAAACAGGCACACAAAGGCACACCCATTTCCAAGTACCCAGTTTACACGACGAAACATGTGTGTAATAATATATCTTACGTTTTCAGGTAGAGGAACAATTTTCTCAGATGTATCAACCTCATTGGAAACAACATTCCAGAATCATTTCATAAAGCAAACGCCAGGAAAGGCAGAATGAAATCAATACTATTTCCTAGTGGATTTTAATGTTCAAATCAAGCAGTAATGTATGCATAGGCATGCCTTTTTCAGGAAGACAATGGATGTTATTTCCACCAAAACCTTCCCCTCAACGGGTGTGCCATGGAGCTACTACCAGGAAGAAGCAAGGCCAGGCCAGCCTTTATGTGCTCAGCCAGCCACGCCTGTGAAGGAAGCTAACTCTGACCCTGCACGGCCTGCCTGAGCACAGCTGTTGATATGAGAGAATGAAAGGAATCACAGAAAATATATATACAACGGGTTCATAAGCACTTAGGTGGTCATTTCTCCCCACTCTTCTTACTTATGCTAAACAACACTAAACTGACAGCAATGGGAGATACTGGGGAGTGATGGCTATAAAGGAACAGATTTTTAACAGACGATCATTGAGACTTCTAGGCGCTAGCACACCAGTGCGCTGGCCAGCACAGGAGCACCGATAAGTGTAAAGTGGACGGGAAAAGGCAATCTGTATCAGTAACTTCACTGCTGACTCCATCACTCCTTTGAACTCATGCTTGCAGAGTATTGAAAAAGAATCCACCTTGCATTTACAATAGATAGGGAAATAAAACAACATTAAAATAAACTAAGTTAGGCACACATTCAGTACTCATTTAACCAATCATCCTGGTTATTTTTAGCATCTCATTCCGCCCCCCGCCCCCCGATTTATAGTAATGCTTTACATAAAGAACTAGAAGTAAATTCATTTATATTTGATAAATATCATTAGCTAATTAAAATATTTAAACACTTGTGCATTTGAATATATTTAACAGATCCCAACCTGCAGAATATAATTTTTGAAAATATAGCCAATCACTAAAAGGCAAGTGAATGGTATCTCTGGATTAATTGTTTATTTCAGACTTTACATTTGGTGCTTTTTTAAAAAGTCTTTTACTATGTCATTAACTTATCATCCCGGACTATCTCTAAAAATTGTTTAACAAAGAAAAATAAATAAAAAATGTCTTATGCATAGAGTCTACACAATGCAAATCGTTAGAGAACAGTGCAGCCACAGCATGTTCTCGGCCCGTTCTTACCTGCTTGTGCGCGTGGTCGTAGGAATTAATGTGATTGTCGAACTCCTGGTGCTTGTGGTACTGCTTGTCGCAGAGCTCACAGTAGAAATTGGCCTTCAGGTCCCCCAGCGCTTTGGCGATGGTGTTCTCCTTCTCCGCATAATCCTGAAACAATGTCAAAGGAGGAACAGTCAGCTCTCCCCTGCGTTTACTTCGTTCTGATGGTTGTCAACTAGTTGAGAAGAGTAAGAAACTTTACTTCACGGGCAACCAGAACAAGAAAGCCAACACCAGCCAAACAATGAGAAGGAATTTTGAGTTAAAGAAAATGAAAGGTTAACAGAAGCAGCCGGAATAAGTGATGGGAAGAACAGAAGAAACACTGAGAGGAAAAATAAGCCACAGAAAGAAATGGAAGCCTTGCTATGCTACGATAGCGTAGAAACAAATGACAATCACAGAGCTATGTTGACTCAACAGTCATTTAAAACAGGAAACATCTAACCGAATCCTGAACAACTCTAAAATGTGTTTTTTTTTTGTTTTTTTTTACCAAGTCCATATGGATGACACCAACATTCAAGTTTTTGTATTTGTTTTTGCTTGTTCCTCTGCTTAAATATCTATAGAGTAACATATCCATCACAACTAGATTTCATTGGACTAATGTGTTCATCTCGACTCAGGTCAATTTAGGCTGAACATTCAAAGAGACTCTAGTCTTCAAGAAGTCAGATTCCTTTCTGCCAGCGCTTTACCTAAACTGAAGATGATTGAACTGTCTAAGCAGACTGCGTTCATCATAAATAAAGATGGCTCTATCACCAAACCCTGGGAACGATGAAAAATGCAGCCAGTTCTCATCCGCGTACATTTACAGGCCAAAGATAGCACAATGTTTGACTGTGGCTTTTAGGGTTTCTTAAATCTAAATGTACTTGCTGTTTCATGCCTCCTTAAACGCTAACATTGCCAGACACGAATAAATTTTATGTGTGGAAACCCTGTCCAAGTCTTTCACTGAAGTGCTGCTATGAAGACCTAAACGTCAATCCCTACCACAGACTACATTAAACTTCGAATTTACAGATCCTCTCCTACTCAATTCCTTTAAAATCCAAAATAACATATCCCCCGGCCTGACATGCTGCTCTCGAACACTCAAGGGGAGTGGAACGTGGAGATTAAATGGCATAGTCCTCTTTGTGGCCATGGCAATTGTCCTTTTTACCAAATGTAAAGGCTGGGAAAGACACATAGTTTAAATGTTTAAATGACTTCTATAAGCCCAGCTGGCATGGCTCAATGTTGAACGTCAACCTATGAACCAGGAGGTTAGGGTTTGACTCCTGGTCCAGGACACATGCCTGGGTTGGGAGCTTGATCCCCAGTAGGGGGTGTGCAGGAGGCAGCCTATCGATTATTCTCTCTCATCATTGATGTTACTATCTCTCTCTCCTTCTTCCTTCCTCCCTGAAATCAATAAATATATATTAAAATAGGTAAATTACTTCTACAAAATTTAAAAGTGGTATACTAACTATAATCCAATTAATAACAAATTCTTGCCTTACATTATTGTACTAAGTATTTGTGTCCACATCCTATATTATAATTTCACATGTTCTGTTTGTATACCTGGTAGTACACCTTTTAGTACCAGATAAATACATCTCCCATCTTATCTAATAATAGACAAACATGGTAACTGACCATACCTTCGCTACGCCTCCCATTGGCTAATCAGCGAGATATGCAAATTAACTGCCAACAAAGATGGCGGCCGGCAGCCATGGAGCTGGAATGAGCAGGAAGCTTACTTGCTCCAGAGATGGAGGGACCCAAGGTTCCCCGCCTGCCGCGGCCTGGCTCTAAGCTACACTCAAAGCAACAAAGTTTCAATTATAGAAGCTAAACAAACCCCAGATACCTGCTTTCAGCCGGCCGTGGCCACTGAGCTGGAGCCTTAAGTTTCCCATGGTGATGGAGGAAGCCAAGCCCTGGCTGGCTCTGAGCTCCACTCCAGGCTACAAAGTTTCAATTATAGAAGGTAAATAAATCCCAGGAAAAATAAAGAAAAAAAGGAGAGGCTGGAAACATCTGTCGCTGGGGAGGCTTGGCCAGCCTGAAAACAGCCATCAGCCCTTCAACCAGATT